CCGGAGAAGGAGAAGCCAAGGAAGGGGCGCAAGGAGAAGGTACATGGGTTGGGTGGTCCTTTGCTGGCGCCAATCCCCCCTCCTCTCCCATTCCAGCCATGCTCATTTTGGTTGTATTTGTGGCACAGGGCAAGAAGGGCAAGACGAAGATGCCATCACTGGTAAAGAAGTGGCAGAGTATCCAGCGGGAGCTGGATGAGGAGAACTCCAGCTCCAGCGAGGAGGACCGGGAGACCACGGCCCAGCGGCGCATTGAGGAGTGGAAACAGCAGCAGCTGATGAGGTACGGACCTTGAGACCAGCACCAGGACACTTCCTTGTCCCCTGTGAGGGTTGGGGACACTCACAAAGGCCACCTGTGTGCTGACATCCTGCTTTGTCCCCACAGTGGCATGGCAGAGAGGAATGCCAACTTCGAGGCACTGCCAGAGGACTGGCGCGCGCGGCTGAAGCGGAGGAAAACCACCTCAAGCACATGAGACACATGGTGCCATGCCGTGCTCTTCTTTTTTTTTTTACAGTTGTACAGTTCCCCTTGACTATTGTCCAATAAATTGTAGCAGTTTGGGAAGTGCAGTCTGGTTGATCCTGCTGGGAGGGGTTTGGTGATGGTGTGTGCAGTGGCCTTGCTTGGTGTGACACCGTGGGGGCTCTTGGTGGCCCTGGCTGATGCCATGCAGGCCCTTCGTGACCTCACTGCCCCAGGTCTCTGCCAGGATAATGAAGTCCTTGTCACCAAGTATGACAAACTACGTCTCCTTTACTTCAGTCTTTACGAGTACGACCTGTTGTCCTCAGAGAAAATGGCTCCTTGAGGTGGAGACAGGGGTGGGGAGGAGAATAGACCCCCTGTAATCCAGGATATTGGGTCCAGTCCTGTTCAATATCTTCACTGAAGATCTGAGGGGGTCTAGGGCACCCTCAGTAAACTTACGGATGGCACCACGTTGGGTGGGATAGGAAGGCAGGAAGCTCTGCAGAGGGAATCTGTACAATCTGGATCCATGGGCCAAGGCCAGTGGAGTGAGCGTGGAGCCCAAGGGCTGGATCCTCTACTTCGGCCACAGCAACCCCAGGGAACACTCTAGGCTGGGGGCAGAGTGGCTGGAAAGCTGGAAAAGGACCTGTGGGAGCTGGTGACAATGCCTGAACGTGAGCCCAGGTGTGGCCACAAGGCCCATAGCACCTCACTCGTACCCGCTGGTGTGGGCACAGGGCCAGAGCAGTGACTGTGCCCTGTGCTGGGCTCGAATCCTGGGAGCAGTTGTGGACCCCTCAGTTCAGGAAGGACATTGTGAGGAGCTGGAGTGTGTCCAGAGAGGAACAATGGAGCAGCTGAATGAAGCTGGAGCACAAGTTGTATGAGGAGAGGCTGAGGGAGCTGGTGGGGCATAGCCTGGAGGAAAGGAGATTCAGGGAGGACTTTCTGATATCTACAACTCCCTGATAGGAGATTGTAGCCAGTTTGGGGTCAGACTCTGCTCCCAGGGACCAAGGGACAGGACAAGAGGAAATGGTCTCAAGTTGTGCCAAGGGAGGTTAAGGTTGTACCTCAGGCAGAAATTCTTGATGGAAAGGCTGGTCCGGCATTGGAAGGGACTGTTTAGGAAGGTGGAGTCACCATCCCTGGAGGTCTTCAGGAAACAGCAGGCAAGAGACCCCCATGTCCCCTGGGGACTCCTCCAGGCAGCACCCCAACCATATCCACCACAGGCAGCACCAGCCCCAGCTGGCAGTGAGGTCCTGGACATCAGGTGAACGGTGAGTGAGACCCCACAGCCCACCACAACCCTCCAGCAAAGCATCTTCCTGGCCTGGCAAGCACAGTGCAGAGGCCCCTCCCTGTCCCTACCTTGGTTTTGGGGGATGTCCCCACCCCAACCATGCTGGAGATCCCCAGCCCTTCCTGATCCTCCTGCAGCTCTCAGGACACCAGAGCAGGCCCCCTGCCAGGGCACACCAGCCTCCTCAGCACAGCACCAGGGGTCCCTGGGGGAGCCATGGGCTCTGTTCTCCCTCCCCTTGACACAGGGACCTCTCTCTGCTCCTCACTGGCCCATGGAGTGCGAAGTCATTAAGGGGACGATTGAGTACATCGGTGAGGGATTGCTCCAGCTGTCCCCAAGCCTTGCCCCTGCACCAGGCCCCAACTGTGCCCATGACACTTGTCTCTGTGTTCCCTTCTCTCCCAGAGTGGGTCCCCCCCGACCCAGAGCCCTTCTGCCCCACCCATGGGCCTGGAGCAGTCCCCGGTCTCCCTCAGTGAGGAGCAGAGCAGTTGGCTACCACTCCAGCCCAGGTACCGGCACACAGGCTGCACCTCTGGGTGCCCTCTTGCTCTCCCCAGACCCCCACTGCCTCTCTCCATGCTTTCCCCACAGCACCTTAAGGCTCTTGCTTCACCCATACTTGGGTTGGGGGGGCCCCAGGACCCCTCTCCTCACCAGCAGCCCCCTCGGAGGGTCCCCAGTACACCACACTGCTCTTTGAGTCCCACTTTGAGAGTGGGAACCTTCAGAAGGCCATCAAGGTGTAAGAGAGGGGCTGGGGGGTGCAGAGGCCCATGGTGGGCCCATGAACTGGAGCATGGCCTGTCCCACCACACAGAGGTCCCTACGAGTACGTGCTGACCCTGCAGCCAGATCTGTACACGGCCAAGCACACCCAGTGGTTCTACTTCTGCATCCAAAATACCCAGCGGGACCCTCTCTATCGCTTCATTATCGCCAACCTGGCTAAGACCAAGAGCCTCTATAACCAGGGCCTGTGGCCACTGCTCTACTCCCAGCAGGATGCGTGTCGGATGGTGCCAGGTCAGGGCTGATATCTGCTACTACCGCGGCAGTGGGGAGGAGCTGTCCACCTTCTGCCTTACCTGGACCATGCACTTCCCCCATGACAGCGACATCTGCTTCTTGGCCCACTCCTACCCCTACACCTACTCAGACTTGCAGCGTTACCTGCAGGTGCTGGCGGGTGGCCCCGTACGCTCGTGGTACTGTGTGGTGCGGGCGCTGTGCCACAGCCTGGCTGGTAACACCATGTACCTGCTGACCACCACCGCGCCCAGCAGCGCCGCGGGGAAACGGGTGGTGGTGGCGAGCACTCACGCACATCCCGGCGAGAGCAGCAGCTCCTGGGCCCTGCATGGCTTCCTCGACTTCCTGCTGCACACTGACACGCAGCTCCCGCGCCCCCTCTTCGTCTTCGAGGATGCTCAACCCTGATGAGGTGGTGGTGGGCAGCTCCCGCTGCTCTTTGGCAGGATGTGATCCCAACAGGGTGTATGGGATGGCGCTTCCCGGCTCCTTCCCCATTGTGGCACCTGCAGGCTATGGTGCAGAGGTGAGGTGGGCACAGGGAGCTGGTGGGATGGGGTTGCTCCTCTGGTGTGTTGGTGGAGTGGGAAGTGGTGCCGTACTGCGCCTTCCATGGGCACAGCCGGAAGAACAACTTCTTCATGTATGGCTGTGACAGCAGCGGGGACAGTGCCAGGACACGGCTGATCCAGCGCGCGTTCCCCCTGATGCTGAGCAAAAATTCCCCTGACAAGGTAGGACACATTGGGGCCAGGGGCCAGTGTCCTTGTTGAGTGTCACAGTGGCACTGGGAGTGTGGCCTCCATGCTGCTTCCCAAGGTGTCCCCATGGGGGTTTGGGCCTGCTGGGGATCCCCCAGTTCTTCTTCCCCAGCTGCAAGTTCCAGGTGCAGAAGAGCAAAGCGGGGACTGGACAGGTGGTCATGTGGCACCTGGGTGTCTCCCACAGCTACACCCTGGAGGTGGCCTTTGGTGGCTCCATGCTGGGTGAGGGGCTGCCATGTACAGTGGGGACAGTGCCAGCTGCGTGGT